AAGAGTGAAGGGCAAGTCGGAGGCTTTGGAGCGATGGACCGTGTGGCGGTGAAGCTTGAGCAAGACTTGGCACCGATGGACGAAGGCAATGGTGGAAAGCAAGTGAAGTCAAGATTGATGAACCAATACGGTCGCGTGATGATATGAAGTGGATCATATCATTTGGTGATTGGTTGGTGCATGTGTTGCATCAACAATGGAGGAGATGGAATGGAATGCGCAAGGCAAAGGTATAACCTAGGGCATTTCATTTCACCGGTCATAGGTGTGTAGAGAAGTTTATGACTGGGTTTAGGATAGATGGCCGTACTATCAAGAGGGGCAAACTTGTTTGCATATCGGTCATCTAGTGCCACTCAAGCGATCTAACTTTGCATCGTTGCTAGGATCGAGTGGCATGGCAAGTTGAGTGGCTAATTCTTTGCAAAATGTTTGTGAAAAGCTAACACACATACACATGGTGGTGTACACTTGGTGGTGTTGGCACATTTGCAAAGGAGAAGGAGTTGGAGTTGAAATGGATCAACTCGGTGAAGAAAAGGAGGCGAAAGGAGGTCACTATGAGTGACCAGAAGCAAGCATCGACAGGACTGGCGCTTCTGGTCAGTGGCAGCAAATGGGCGCGGTCTCGGTCAAGTGACCGAACACTGCACAGTAAAAGTGACCGGACGTGCAGGGCCTACATCCGGTCAGTGATGACGTACGCTGACGTCTTGGCACGAGGAGCAGCATTGACACGTGGTAGGCAGTGAAGGACCGAACTCAGGTGATGCGTCCAATCACGACCAACCTGACATGTCCGGTCACAAATCAGAGGCTCGGGGAGCTCTCTAGAAACGACCGGACTCTGGTTGGTCTGCGTCTGGTCATGCAGGAGCGGACACGTCCGGTCGCAAAACAGAGGCTCGAGGAGCTCTCTGGAAATGGCCGAACTTAGACGTTGCAGCGTCCGGTCATCCTCACTGTGCTGCGTCCAGTTGTTGTGTGACCATTGACGCACGAAGTTATCGTTGAGATAGGGAGGCTCCGGTTGAACGCAGAGCAACACGTGGACGGCGTAGCGCGACCGGATGTTGGCAGGGTGCGTCCGATCGATACGACCGGCGCGTCCGGTCAGCCCGAAAAACGCCCAGTGAAGGGTAATGGTTATTTTAGCCCATGGGGATATAAATAGAAGTGTTGGTTGGCCTTTGGCCGTTAGCTTAGTAGAGCTTAGCACACTAGAGCCTTGGTGGCTTATGTGGTGGTGCTTGAGAGCCCTCTAACTCACTCTAGCTTGATAGTGTTCATCCGATTAAGTGAGTGACCGATTCTAGTGCGATTGCATCATGAGGTTGCATCAAGTGGCACTAGGTGGTCATCTTGCAAGCCGGTGGTGCTTGTTACTCTTGGAGGTTGCCACCTCCTAGACGGCTTGGTGGTGGTCTCCGTCGAAGCCCGCAAGAAGCTTGTGCGGTGCTCCGGAGAAGAGCTTTATGAGGGGCATTGTGCTCGCCCCGTGGGAGCCGCGAAGAGCAACTCTAGTTGAGCGTGTCATTAAGCTACCCTCACTTTCGGGGTAGGTTCTTGCGGTGTCCGATGTGCGGGCTTGGCAGGTGATGCCAATTAGCCGTCGAACCACCAAGTGAGCGGTCGACACAATATCGGGACCAAGGACCGCGTGTTGGCAAGCACATGAACCTCAGGAGAAAATCACCATATCAATATTGTTCTTCCCATTGGTTTGCAATCCCCTTACACAAGCTTGTAATTACTTTCATATACATTGTGCTTGTGTAGTTGCTCTTGTAATTAGTTAGCTTGTGTAGCTCACTAGTTATCTTCTTGCTTGTGTGGCATGGAAGTAGCTCCTTGCATGGCTAATTTGGTTTGTGTAACCTTGTTGGTCATATTGTTTAGTTTGTGTAGCTAAGTATTTGTGCTCTCTAATTTGACATTGGTTGCCTTATTATTGAGCATTGCTAGTGAGCTTAGAAGCTTTGTGCTTTTGCTTACTAGAATTGAGTAGGAGCTCTCCGGTGTGCACAATACTAGTGGTATAGGTTTGTGTGACCTTGCTCCTAGAATTGGATAGGTGAGCTCCAGCTAGTCCGTCACCTTAGTTGCTTAATTAGGATCTTTGCAGGGTGCTTGTGAACTTCGATAGAGGGGTGTAGTCTTGGCTAGACTGATAGTTTTAATTCCGCACTTGCTTCGATTAGCCGGCGCGATTCAGTTTAAGAAAGGACTATTCACCCCCTCTAGTTCGCCATCTAGACCCTACAAGTGGTATCGGAGCAAGTTGTTTTTAAAGCTTTTGCTATGATTGATATATTGTTCTTAGTTGCTTTTATTTCTTATTTGTATGTTTCTCTATGTTTGGTGTTTGCTACGAGTAGAAGAGAACCGTACGTAAGCGTTGGAGGCCACAAGCGAGAAAAAAAGATCAAAGGTTCTATGAGGAGGTTATCATTAGTTGTAAAGCAAGTGAAAGACAAGTATATCATGGGATCATCCTTGTTACCTATTCACTTTAATAGTTTAATGTCATTTAATTCATATGCACGTGTCTATCTTGATTCCTGTAAGGATATCCTAGCTTTTGTACCTTGTATCTTGATTCCTATAGTATTTATGCTAGCGCTCAATTAAATAACCATGATTTGTAACTTGACTAATGGTATATGCAATAAATGATAAAATATGTTTTTTAGCAACTTGACTTAAGAGGGCTGGATCATATTGGTTTTTTATGTTGCTCTAGTTTCTCTCCCTAAGGACTTATCTATAAGTGGATTCCCCGGGACTTACAGTACAACAATGAGTGCTACATGGCTCTGGCTTTAGTCAAGTATGAGGACCTTTTCCAACTCATGTAGCTTACCAAAAGGCACAAGAGGGGCTCCGATTGGTTTGATCCCGTGGCCTGCCAAAGGAGTGCACTTTGATTTCTTTGTCTTTTAGTTAGTCACACCTTGGGGGAGGGATCTTACTAGTTGGTAGGGAATCCTTAGTGGGCTACACTTGTTAGACAAACTTTTGAAAGATTTCATAGTGAACCCTGTCGACCTTCCTTGGAAGTGGGTTAAGAAATTGGCCGCCTCGGGCAAAAGGATAAATCATGGCTCATGGTGAAAGTGTACAACCTCTACATAGTGTAAAACTATTATAATAGCCGTGCTCACGGTCAAGAGCGGCCTGAGCTCCTTACTGAATAGATGATGAACACTAATGATACTGATGATACATATGCTCACTTATGATTATTGTTTTTGGTATACATTGGTTATTTAGAAAACACTAAATAAACTAATTGATTTTAATATTTGGATAAAATTTATTATGTTTAGTTTAAGCTAGTGTAAATTTTGTTGCGAAAAATGTGAATTTTCATACTTTTCTGAATTAATTTGACTGGCTTTTGCTTGATGTGATGTTGCTTGTTGCTTGACTCAGTGCTATGAATGAGTAAATTAAAAAAATGTTTATTAAGTCGTTTATCTTTCTCCGTATTCTCTGTGTCTTTTATGTAGTAAAATCCTTATTTTCTTTGATGTTAATCTTTGTGTTGGAGTTTTTCAAGATACTTTTCTTTCATTCCAAATCACTCCTTTGAGTTCATCATCCATCAACTATGTGTGAGTTCATCATCCAAATCACTTCTTTGTTGCGTACTATGATGTTGATGCTCATGTTTAATCATTATTGTCATATTGCTATTGTTTATGATCATGTGAGGATTGGAGCTTAACCATAACTTAGCAACTTAGTTTTTAATGTTAAAACTTGGTCTACTAAAAATGCCTACTGTAGTTTAACCCAGTCGAGCCTTTGAGCCTTCATTCGCCCATGTTATATTTGCTAAGTACGATATATGCTCACCCTTGCTATTCCCCCCACTCCCCAGTCTCTAGCAAAAGTTGCTCAGAAGATTGATGAAAACATAGAGGTTCCCAAAAGATTGACAGGAGTGCTAGGCATATGTTACCCCAGTCAGCCGTCCCGTGAAGAATTGAGCTTGAGGATTAGTTACCGTTCCGCGATACTCTAATGTAAGTGTTAATATAGTTATGTATATGTTACTTAATAACATTGTTTCCGATATTTTCCATTCTGTTGTTGTATGTGTGGACTTCGTGAGCACACGTATGGCGAGCTTGGTTTTCTTTGGAAAACTAGGCGTTACACAGATTCTCTAGAAACTTTTCTTTGTTGAGATAGGAATCACTTGGTAAGAATCGGTGAAACATTTGGTTGCTATGGATCCAGATTCTCCTTAAAATGAATTAGAATCACTGCGAAACACCTAAATTCTCATAGTACAAAAGCGAAAAATGTTTCTCTAAGAATCCAAAATGTTTCTCTAAGAATCCAAAATGTTTCTCTGAGAATCCAAAATGTTTCTGTCATCAAATAGGGCCGACGAGAGCATGTCTCATCAACCAGCAACGAGAGTATTCCTCCGTCCCTAAAAAAGAGTCATTTATGAGAATCGTACTGGTTAAATTTTCTCAACTTTGATTAGGTTTGCAGAAAATGCGTGTGACATTTATATCTCCGAATAAGTCTATTATGAAAGTATATTTAACGATTTACCTAATGATACTAATTATGTATCATAAATATTAATATTTTATTAAATATGTTAGGTTAAAATTAAAAGTTATTGACTTTTTAGGAAGGGAGAATCACTGTCTTCTAGCGAGAGAGGGAGTATATGGCATCTCGTGACGGTGTGGCCCGCCTCAGCCAAGGCCCAAGCCCAAGGGCATAGCTAAGTTGCACATCCATCCCGCCACGACGCCCGAAAACCGCGCGCCAAAAGCCGCCTTCCCGCCTCCTCATCCAATGGAATTTGGAAACTGCCATTCCCGGCTTCGCCTCAAAACCTTTCCCCCCACAAAACAAATTCGCAATCCCATCCCGTATCCTCTCGTCGTCGCGTCGCCCTCCTCCGCGCCACCGCCGCCGCTACCTGAACCCCAGCGCCTATCGGTGAGCCGCACAGGGGATTGCCGAGGATGTTCTACTCGCACACGATCCTCGCGCGGAAGAGCCCGCTGGGCACCGTGTGGATCGCCGCGCACCTCGAGCGCAAGATCAAGAAGCCGCAGATCGACGGCATCGACATCCCCACCTATGCAGGTCCGTCGGCTCCGCCCCTCGCTCGCCCAAAGACGCGTTTTTTCCCCTTCCCTTCCCTCTGTCGACCGCCGGTAGAAAAAAAGCAGGATCTTTTTCTCCTCCCTTTGTTTCTTTGGCGAGGGATTCTTGGAAGCATCTGGCGGAGGCTTAAAGGTGCGGTGCTCCCTGTGGCCTTCGGCGAAAATGCGGTGGAATCATGCGACGCTAGGTCAATTGTGCGAGGATTTGGTCCCCAACCGGCATTCCGCATGTTAAACGGAGAAGGGGCTTCTTTGGGTTTTGTGTCCCCAACCGGCATTGCGCAAGTTAAACGGAGAAGGGGCTTCTTTGGGTTTTGGTTCAGAACTCTTGTGTAGATGATATTCCCAATTACGGTTCGCTGCTGGTATTTCGGTTAGTCATTATGAATTTCACGTAAAGAACGGTTCTTGTCACAGTTTATGCAGAAACACAAAAGAAAAGAAAAAAGTACTTTAGTCATGTCATGTCCTCAGGAAGTTGGGGCATACCCTGTTGCAATTGTTTACAATAGGCTGTTTGTCAGACGATATGGCTTATTTATAGCCAAAGATACGATCTTTTGAGCCAGGCATGTACTTGTGAGATTATTTGGCAAATTAATGTATCTTTTGCCTCATTTATTAGTCCTGGAACAGAACACGTGAAGTTATGTAGTATTTGTAGCTGTTCGTGTTTGTCTGTAAGAGGAAGATCATCCTTTATTTATTTATTTATTTATTTAGTTGGACTGAAGACAATTAGCAAAATCCTTGTGATTTGGTGAGCCCTAGGTTGGGTGTGGGGAAGAGTGGAAGTTACTGAGTGATTTGTCAGTTGTGGTTGCTGCAAGTTAGCAGCCCTCATTTCACTCTATTCTTTGGATTTATTTATTCTATAATGACCATGTCCTGTTATAATTTCCTTAGAAAAGTTGTTTCTTAGTATGTTCTGACTCAGTATCTACCTTCTTGATTCTATCCTACATTCGGGAATTTTGCTGTCATTTCCCTGTGATTTATTCTGTAAATCTTCCCTAGTCTTCTAATGAATACCTTTTGCCTTTTCAGAAAGTATAATGTTCCCTGAAGTTCCAATTGCTCTAAGATTATCAGGGCATCTTCTTCTAGGTCTAGTTCGCATTTATTCATGGAAGGTGCAATACCTGTTTCAAGATTGTAATCGAATGCTAACTACAATAAGAACTGCATTCGCTTCTGTCCAAGTTGATCTTCCAATTGATGCAGACCGTGCTCCATTTGAGTCCATTACATTACCACCAACACTAAATCTTGACGACCTAAACTTGGACGATGCAATTTCTCTGATGGAGTAAGAACTGATGTTCTTCATCATTGTTTTATGTCATGTAATGCAAATGCTACCTATGTAATATTTTTTTTGTTAAACTCTCTGCAGTACACCAGATAATCATCAGAAGACTCGTGATCAGATTACCTTGCCTGGTAAGGAAAGTTCACTATAGTGAATGCTTGTTTATTCTTTTTTTGAAGCAATCAGCTGCGTTGAACCCCTAACTTAGTTTTTATTTTGATTGATAAACAATGTTCAGCCATGGCTTCTGCGTTTAACTAGCTGATTGGTTTTGCAGAAGGAGAATATGTGATGATAGAACTTGATGAGGTATTCATACTATCCTACTGTTTTTTTTCTTTCCTTTTTTCTTGTTCACTAATATTTTACTTCACTGCGCAGGATGCCAGAGTAGAGCAATCAGGTCCTGGTCCATCATTACACATGGGGCCTACAGCAATTTTGGATGAGTATGTCTCTTAATATGCTTTCTCTCTTTTTTACTTGTGGATTCATGTCTCCTTTGCAATCATGTTCAGGACGTCCCCTCCATTTCATGATGGTTTTGGAGCTAATAACAATCCTAATGAAGAAGCTCCCATAGATCCTCCCATAGGCAATTCACCAGTAAATTTCAACATAGCAAATCAGACAGATGGAGCACTAGATCCACCCGAAAAAATGCGTGAAGCTCCACATGAGTCTCCTCACCTGAAGTTAACAGAGTCAATCCTTGGAAATGATGACCCCATGGATTTGGACCATGATTCTTCACCTTTTGTGCAAAACAAGGCTATCACCCCTCCAGTTATTGACGAAACAACTTCGGCTGGTCGACAAGTACCTGGGAGATCCATTTCCAATTTACGGACACCAAGCACATTTGATGCTTTTGTAGATGATGGGCCCCTAAATTTTGGTTAGTATTTGTCCTGACACATTATGTACCTGAAGTATTTGTTTGTTTGTCCAACTCCTCTTGATACAGATTTCGTTTTACTTCTCTGATTTTAGACATTCCATTACCTGAATTTGGGCTTCAGCCATCTCCACCTCCAGTACAAGAGAATGAGGATAATAGAAGGCCAAAAACACAAGTTAACAATAGAAAGAGGAAGAGAGGGATGAAATTTGATTACAAAATTGTGCTCTCCAATGAGTAAGTTTTAATTGAGCCTCAATTTTGGCATGTAAGATTCTTACATGATTTGAGCAATATTTCAGTGGAATAACTTGGAACAATGATTAATGTGATTTCTATTTTGAGAGAAAACAATTGCTTGCAGTTTGAATTGTTCGTTGGTCAAAAGATGTACCTATGTTCTTGAAAGTCTGCTTGCTAATATCCAATGCTGGCCTTCTTAAGGCAGGGCCTGAGTCCCCATAGTCTTTTATGTCCAATGCATTGCATACATGATACTTCAAACTTCATGATGCACAGTGCTACCTTTGAGATGCAGTCAAGTCAAAGAACAAACAGTGATCAGGCTTCTATTTTTATACATTTACATCTATATGATTTATGAAACAAAGTTCTATTTTTTATGTTGTTTTGTGGTCTACGGAACATGTAGTTGTTGGCACTATTCTACACCTGCATGTAGGGTAGCTATTTTGGGGTGCACAAAATAATGTTCAAGGTTTATTATAGAGAAGTGTATTCATACATGTAGTTACACACTTAATTGCATCGGCTCTGCTTGGTTCTTTAGCATATACGGAACTGTATCACTGCATGGATGCTTTTTTTGGGGGAAATTCTGTATAGGTTCTACACTGTCTCCATCAGCAGTATCTTAAACAGCTTATTCACTACAACTCAATACCCATCATTACCATTTGGTTTCACATGTTCATTTAGAAATTGGGTTACTTTTACTGGTGAACATTTTAGGACCTGTTCCATTACAAAAATATACCATCCATATACTTTTACCATCTAAAATGGTGCATTTGGTATGATAAATTCAGTATGCTGTTATTTTAATTGAGCTACTCTTTGGTACCTGTGGTAATTCCATCTTCTCTTGCGCAGCTGTATGAGTAAGCAAATTGATGGTGCTGAACTAGATGAGTTGATCTGCAAGAGGAGAAAACTACCCCAAACAAGCCTTGATACGTGGAGATTCAGCAGGACTAACAGAAAGGGCAGCTTCTTGCTTGAACCTCTGCTGCATGGTAAGCTTATACGCTCTTTGATTTTCTTGGAGGTGTATAGTTTGTTCAATCTCAAGAAACCATTTCATACCCTGAATTGTTCCTTTTTCAGGGATGTGCAGTAATCTTCAAGAAACCTATGAGAGAAACTTCCCCTGTGTCAGTGGCCTTGATGCTGAGTATAGCAATGTGGTTGGTTTAGCAAATCATGGTCAGGATGCACCACCTGAACGGCAGCTAAGCCCAAATGTTCCTGGAACTGCGGAACTGCCTTACCATGAGCCCGCCCCAACGTCTCCAGGAAATGCAGAGGCACAGCCTGAACCTTTGCCAACTCTAAAATCATCAGGAGCTGCAGGTGCAGCACCAGATGATGATATGTTGCCCGAGTTGCCCCGATTCTCGCCAATAGATGTGCCATCTCCAATAAGAGAAAATGACACTCCTTACAAAACTCCCGGTGGAACTCCACCATCTTGGCTTGGAGGAACTGCCGTTTCTGAAATACCATCAACTGATGGGAGGCTTGGAGGAACTGCTGTTTCTGAAATACCATCAACTGATGGGAAGTATTCATTACCTGGACAAAGTACTCGTGACTCTGATAATATGTCCTTCCTCTTTCCAATCAATGAAGATGATGACCAACCAGAGATCCCTGGTCTCATTAGTACACCTGGAGGGGTATCTAGTGTAGGTACTGGAACCACCGGATTAGGAAGCATGTCTACTAGGACAAGGTAATGAGATGTGTTTGAGCTGATCGTACCATTCTTATTTGAGTAGAAGTTGTGACATTTTCATTATGGTATTGTAGGGCTGTCGCGCTGTTCTTTAAGGATCATGTGACTTCACCGTCATCAGATGAGCAGCCTGGAAAATTCAGTTTGAACAAAATTTTGGAAGGGAAAACAAGAAAACAAGCTGCAAGGATGTTCTTTGAGACAACGGTAACATAACTGACATGCAATTTCTACATTTACGTTGCGTCTGCAGGTAGTTTCTTTTGTTATCTGGAACTTTATTTATAAGATCTATTTGTTTTTTTCCTATAGGTTCTGAAGAGTTACAACTACATTGATGTCCAACAAGGGAAAGAGCCATTTGGAGATATTGAAATTTCAGTTAAACCCTCACTCTCAGCTGCCAAACTTTGACAAAGTTATTTAGAGTCATCATCTGCAAGACCTCTTGTTCATCTGCCAAGAAGATAGAATTCACAAGGGCTACCTGAATATTGTTTTAGGGTGATGCTGGAGAAGGAGTCAAATGGACATAAACTTCTGTTCTATCTAGCTTATAAAGGATATGTTGGCTAGGGACTAAGCTTAGTGAATATCAGTGCAAGTACTAAATAGTGTAACATCTTATACATATTTCTTTCTCTTCACTCTATGGAGCTGTTTGGTTGCATCCAGTAAACGTAAACGCGAACAGTAATGGAAGACGCCGCAAATGAAAACAAATTAAGTGAATACTGCCTTTGTTTGGTTCGTGTCCGTAAAGGAATTGGATACGCAGCGAGATGGAGATCTTCATGCTTGGCGCCACTGGGAACTCGAGATGCAGCATTGTTGATGGCGTTGAGGATTCACGCCGCGGCCAGGTGCATCCACCTCGTGCTCGTCCATGGCGGGAGGTTGGTCTTCGAGTCGCTCATCATCTCGCAGTAAGTCCTAAGTCGATGAGGCGTTCGCTGTTGCCGGAGCAGATGGCCACGGCGCTCGCCCAGAGGCGTTTGCTGGTGCCAGTCTATCGGAGCAGGTGGCGGCGGCGCTCGCCTAGCTCGATGAGGCCATCACGGTGTGCAGCAAGTGACAGTGTTTCTTCGACATCGTCCATGGACGTCTGGAATTTCTAGGCAGCGGAGTGGATCACCGCGCAGACGGCCTCGACGAGATGAGAACACCTTGGGCTGCGCGCGTGGGCGGCGCGGTTCTGCAGGCCAAAATTGGAGAAGGCAGAGAGGACGGGAAGGGGTGGAGTCACGCGAAGAGGCAGTGGGGATGGGCGGCGCCGGCGCTGGGAAAGAACTGGACGAAGATGTCGAGGGGAAGATGAGGCGAATAGATTACGGCTAGATTTGAGCGGTATCAGATTTCTCTTGGCCCGTATCGCTTTACGGCGTGATGCGTTTACAGTGGAAGCAAGACAAACAGAATCTAACGTTATCAGTTGCCACCGTAATCAGATGCCGTTACAAATCATCCAACCAAACAGTACGTATGTCTATAGCTGTTTCCTTCGGTCTATTAAGAAGTTTTTCATGATATTCTGCGGTATATTATGCCCAATTCTAATTGGAGCCACCTGATTGTGTGGATTTATAAGTCTTATTAAAACTATGGAATTTCATCAAACTACACTCAGTAGTTAGGTGGACATAGCTTATACAACAGATAACTAGACATCATCCGATTTTCACTCATCCTCTCCACATCCTCCTCCCTCTATCTATACATAGTTGCAGTCCTCGTCGGCGAAGCCTAGCCTGGACCCCACCGTGTCATACACCACCCTCTTGTTCTTCTGCTGGTAGTTGCCAATGATGGGCGTCTGGTCCTCGTACGACAGACTGGCCATGGCCAGGCACACCTGCGAGCCGTCCTTCCTCACCACGAACAGCATCCCGGCCGCGTCCACGGTCACGTCCGCTCCGCCTTCCAGCCTCAACGTCAGCAGCGGCACCTTCACCTCGTCGTGCCCCGTCAGGTCGTAACACGTGTCCAGGATCGAGAACCCCGGGGCGGTTGGGTAGCCCGCCGCGCCGAACTGGCGCGTGAACTCGGCGCGCACGGCGCGGTACACGGACGGCGCCAGGCGCGTGATCACCGTGCCGGAGTCGATGAGCACGTTGGTGGCGCCGAGCCCCTGCGCCGCGAGGGTGGTGCCGCCGACGGCCGCGCCGGTGATGTTGAGGAAGTAGAAGGGCGGCTGCGCCGGGTCGGCGATCATGCGGGTGTAGGCCACGGGCGTCGTGTTGCGGTAGGACGACGCGTCTCCGCCGAGGGAGAGCGAGCCCGAGGCGTCGCCGGAGGTGACCGCCGGCAGGCAGTAGGAGAAGATGCCGCCGTACCGGGACGCGGTCTGGGAGACCAGGGACAGCTCGGTGCGGCCGAAGCCCATGAGCCCCGCCGTGCCGCCGAACAGGCCGCGGTTGCTGAGCCCGCACCCGAACACGAACCCGTCCAGGCTGGCGCCGCCGAGCGCGACCGTGTCCGTGGCGAGCACGCCGCGGCTGAAGGACCCGTCGCCGTATGCCAGCGCGTAGTAGCACCTCTCGTTGCCTCCCCCGCCGCCGGTGGTACCGCAGGATCCCGGCGTGCCGGTGGCCGCCTTGAGGGAGGCCGCGCACGCGGAGGCGTTGCACCGGACCGCGGCGTAGGTGGCGGAGCCCGCGGGGTCGAAGAGCGGGTCGCGCTGCGCGTAGCACGCGGAGCAGGGCTTGCACTGCACCCAGGTGAGGTCGCTTCCCGTGTCCACGATGACGGTGAGGTTCGCGGCGGGGGAGCCGAAGCCGGAGCTGCCGCCGCCGAGCGCGATGGTGGTGACGTAGTTGAGCGTCTGGAACCGGATGCCGGAGGTCAGCGGGACCTCTGCCGAGCCGGACCGCGTGGCCGCTGCCGCTGCCCTGTCGTTGTCGTCGCGGAGCTGGAATGAGTTGGCACGCGATTCGTCGGCTGCGAGGAGACGGCGGAGGTAGCGGTCGCGGGCGGCGGGGTCGTCAGGGATGGCAATGAGGGAGTGGCGCTTGAGCTCTAGCACGGTGGTCGCTCTTCTTGCTGCCCCTGCTTTCTTGTGCTCTCCTGAAGAAGATGACAGACACGCAATGGGGAAGCGGAAGTGAGCATGCATGTGACAGCAACTGCATGCGAACACATGAGTTCATTTCATTGATTAAATTCCAAATGCATGCAAAGTTTCTGTTACACAGAGCTGAGAAAGCACCAGTACGGTACGTGCTGTACCTAGCATTTCAGCAAGCTTTGCGTCGGCGTAGCGGCTGCTCCGGCTCCGGGTCTCCGTCGCGGCACCCCGTCGTCCGTCCAACTCCCGCAGAGAGAGCACGGCGCTCTTCCCGACGACCGCCTGCGCGGCGGCGAGAAGCGCAAGGACGCGAAGAAGAAGAAGGCGAGCGGCGGCCGCCATTGTTAGCGCTGCCGTGGACTGTGGTACGGTGGATAGATAGATCTGACAACGCAAGCTGGCTGGCAGTGGCACGGATCGGAAGAAGAGAAACGACCAAGCAGGAAGCGGGGGTGTGCAAGAGACAAGGGAATGTGAGTAGTGTGCATGAGAGAGACGGATATATAGACGGACGCTGCTGCCTGCCAGTGCCAGTAGCTGCTAGCCTCTGCTCGCACGAGCATGCATGCTCGCACGAGCACGAGGGAGCACGAGACCACGGTAACCGCTGTAGCGCGAAGGACTATCCGGGATCACGGACGGGCACGCACAAAAGGCCACCGGGGGAGGAGGTGGCTCGTTGTTTGCTTGCGGCGAGGACGGTAGCACGGCGTGCGCGATGCCCCAGCAAGGGGCGTCCGCACCTGCTCCCGTGACCGAACCGTCGCGGAAGGAACATGGCCGGGACCAAGGCATGAAGTGGATGTCCTGGACCATTCCTAACTAGCACTACTAGTGTACTACTGACCGTTACTGCCCTGCTCATGATGCCGGATGGCGCCGCCGAACCTTGGGAGGACACCAGGCCAGCTGCTGGAAGATGGCGCATGCGGCAGGGTGAAGGAGTGCTGGTACATTGCCATCGTGGTGTTGTAGTCTGACATGGTGACGAGCACAGCAATGGAGGCGGAGTCGCCCATGTGCAGTGCGAGACCAAAGAGAGCCGGGACCCTGCAACGAGCGCCGCGAGAACGAGTCCACACAGAGCACGCACTGTTTTGCTGCGTTCGTCCCCTTCCTTTCCTGTGCACCACCTCAACTTCGATCAATCGCTGCCAACTCCATGGATTGGAGCAGGAGGTTCGATTGGTTGGGGCCTAGCTAGCTGTGATTTGGGAAAAAAAGAACAATGCTAGGATGCATCGACAGTGTAAAGCAGTGTGTGGCTGCCAAGGTCAGAGCAGGCGCAGATGGGGACTCAAGAGACGTACTTGGCGTTTTTTTTCCTTGATCTTGGCAACATTGCCTAGTGTCACCGATCCCATATATAGGACATAGGAGTACTCAGCCCGTGCTTTTCGTGGACGTGGACACGGGGGCATTCTGCTGGGTGGCGACGACATGGCAGCAACCAACGCTTGAAAGACGAGGAGAAGAGAGCATGGAACACACAGAAACATAAGGGGTTCTGCAAAGGCAAATGCACGCTGGTTGCTTCGTTACGTAAAAAACTGTAATATAACACCAGTGTCCCCTAATGACGCAGGAACGAACACGCGTTTCCAACACGCGTCTGTTAACACGCGTCAGTAATATATCGGTGGGTCAACACACGTCTGTAATAACTCGTTACTACAGACGCGGACCAAGAAAACATGTCTGTGATATAGGAAAAGACGCGTCTATGTTAAAGATATTTTATGGGAGACGTGTCTCGTAAACATGCGTCACACATACTGAGCTCTCGGACCCGAAAAAATTATCCAATCCCATGGACTTCACATCAAGTCCGCGTTTGCCTCCCACCCCCTTGATCTGTCCCTCGCCCCTCTCTTCTCTACCTCCGACAGCACATCTCTCGTTGTCTCCCCTCCTCTCTTTCTCCAACACCATGGCCCCCCTCCTCTTCCACCGTCGCGGCCACCACCCCCTCCTCCACCGGTGCGGCCACCACCCCCTCCTCTTCCATCGTCGCTTCTCCTCTCAGATCTAGATCTAGAAGGGTTCGGAGGTGGGGCTTCCACTGCATGGTGGTTCGTCAACCTGATGCCGCTGCCGTCTCCACAGGGATTCTCTCGAGTGGGTCGCACGTCGAGTGCCCCCTAAAGCTAGGGTTCGAGGGAGGCCATGCCAGCGCTGCCGCTGGCACGGATTCGAGGCTGCGTGATGCGCGCAGGGCTGGCCATGGCGTCCTCCCCGATCAAGTTCTCCTTGGATTTATGCGACATCAAGGTATCCCCCGTGCCTTGCCCCTCGATGGTGGCGATCCCCAATTCCCCATCTGCTGAACCAGATCCCGCACCGTTAATCTCCAATCCCCATCTGCTTAATCCTCTGACACAGTCATGGTCCTGCTCCAGCACTAGGAGCAGCGCCGCCCTCTCCACCCACCCACCCACCAGGAAGCAGCACCATCGCGAAGCAGAGCCAACTCCTCCACCCGTAGCGAAGGCCAACACCCCCTCTCCAAGGTAAAATACAAATCAATCCCATCACATGTTGTTTTTTTGTGGGTGTACTGTGCAGACATGCAGATACAATTTCACAAACTTCTAAATTGGTTGTATAAGTTACATGGCTGCAGCTTATCTTCTTAGGTCAAGTAGCAAGTTTCAGCTTATCTTCTACAATTTCACAAATTTCAGGTGCCCCCAGGAGTGTTGTTCTTCAGGCTTGCACTCTCACATCAGGCTTGCAGCTTGCTGGAGGGCTTCTGTTTAGCTAGGTCTACGAGAGTACGAGACACACCTTCCTCATAGTTCTCTGGTTCAACTATCAATTTATTTTTTCAGTTTATTATAGGGCTCATTGCTGCATGGTGATACGAGACACACCCTTGTCTTATCCTATATCCTTCTGCTGATTGACCACCATGATTTCATCACTGTTTCATCACTCCCATGAATATTAAGTAGTACATATTGAGCATTACGTCACAAGCAATTTCATTATGTTCTTCCTGGTTCTTGCCTAGGGCTTAATAAGCACTGATGTCAACTGCTTCCTGTTGGATCATAATACTTTTCGGTTTTCATTTACAGCAGGTAATGCCTTGACACTTATGCTTACTGCTTATCATCGGTTATTGTTAGAAAATATGAAACCTGTTGCAGCTTGTGTAGAGTAGGCAGCTTGGAGGGTTGTCATATACCTTATCTCTGTTGCAGTTAGAAAATATGATGCTTATCTCTGTACTATTGCAGGTCTTGAAATGTGACCAAAATTGTCCATTAATTCTATGAAGTCATTGAAGTGAGGATGGACTAAACCATCGTGTTCCGGAGTTTGGATGAAGGAGTTGTTCCCTCAGGAAAATCTCACTCTACCAGAACTTCTGACCCCCTATCAGAACCTCTGATTTTCGCTCGGAGGTTCTGAGTTTGTGCAGAAATCAGAACTTCTGACCCCTATCAGAACTTCTGATGTTCGCCTGGAAATGCTGGCTTTGCGCGGAAATCAGAACTTCGGACCCCCTGTCAGAACTTCTTATGTTCGTCTGGAAGTGCTGGCTTTGCGCAAAAATCAGAACTTCTGACCCCCTGTCAGAACTTCTAATTTTCGCAGTCCGAATCAAGAAGAGTCCAAACTCGATCCCAACTCTTCCAAACTCGTGGGAACTTAGAGATTAAGTCTTGGAGAGGTTTCCTACTGGGATAAGACCACCCCTCTATATATATGAGAGGATCATGGCCGATTGAGTTCCCATCTATCCAATCGACAAACAAATCAATCTACTACCTCTACTCCAACCCTTTTGCCATCTTCTTCAACTCCCATGCTGTTCATCCCTTGATCCAACGACCAAGGATGGCGCCCTAGGCATGCCGGCCTACCTAGGCCAACCCGACGACGTCCTTGCCCTGACGGGGTCCCTCTTGGGCGAGAGCTTCGACGGTTTCTTTGTTGGTTTGCCTGAAAACTAGCCGGTTCTTCATCACGTAAGCACGTTGATTATCCTTTGGTGGTTTGCTTGTAAACCTCTCCGTTCTTCACCACGAAAGAGTGACCTCCTCGCTGCGTTCTTCGGTCCGTAGCGGCCCGGGCATCCAAGGCCCTGCTGGTGTGTGATTTGGATCACTTCCGACATCAACACACTTTTTGGCGACTCCGTTAGGGAAGAATTTGCTTCGGTTCTACTTTGTAGCCGAATCTTGTTGCCCTAGCCCTACTTCTCGCTGATTTATCTTCTTGTGCTCGCCATTACCATTGCATCTGGCCCAAAAGGCCGATCGCATTTGGTTTTGACCCCTTGTGATCTCGTTTGCAATTTTGCAACGTGTTGCGCTTGCTATTGGAAAATTCAGCAAGGCTGTCAAGTTCTAAATCATGGAGTACCAAGGTGGTTCATCACAAAACTACTACAATTACCCCGAGGTACAACTTGCAAATGCATCTTATGATCCCAATAATTATTTTGCAAGTTCTATGAGCTCTCATGTTGATGTTGCTGGTCATAGTGATACTAGATATGTTGCATCGGCTGATTCTTTTGATTATGGATATTATGGTCAAGAGCCGATGTCAATTGTAAATTCTTCAAGTTTTGATGCTACTAGCAACATGCGACATGTAAATCCTAATTCATCGGCTATAAGTTCACAATATGTGATTTCGCCACAAGACATGTCGATGAATGAGAGAATTGGCTATAACCATGCTAATTATTTAGCCAATTGCTCTCAAAATTCAGCACAATATGCCAATGCTCCTATTCATAATTTGGCTTCATATATTACTCCCAACTCAAGCCGAATTAATAAAATTTCAGCAAGGCATTCGAGTACTAAAACTCGTGATTTGGCTTTATATGTTGCTCTCAAATCAAGCCGAATCGATGAAGATTTAGCCCATACTAGAAATCCATATGGCTCCTCTAAATGGAAGGTGCCCGCGTATCATAGACCATACCCATATGCATTGATTACTTGAAAACTCCTGATAGATGGTGGGTACCGGATTTTTATGAATTTAGTGGTGAAGATGATAAGACCGCTGTAGAACACATTAGTATATATCTCTCATAGTTGGGTTTTGCCGGTAAAGAAGACTATATGAGAGTGCAAAATTTTCTTTTATCTCTTACTGGTATTGCCTTTGCATGGTTTACATCTTTGCCCCGGTGCACTATTGGTTCATGGTCTCAATTAGAGGAGCAATTCTATGAATACTTCGGAAAGACCAATGAGAAAAGGCCGATCACAGTTGAGTCATCGGCTAAAAGAGGATTGCTAGTGGGCGTGAAAGAACGATTTGATTCGGATGTAAGCAAAAGTTCGGCTATAAAAGCCAAACAACACAATAAC